GGAACAGATCACTCCTGCGTGACGCGCGAGAGAAACGTGCGAAAGAAGCGCGAGATCAAAAGATGAAAATTCAAAACAAAGATGGCGGCGCGTGGAATTTTTTCTACTTTTGTGAGAAGTTTACCTAAGAGCTTGTATTTGATGTGTTGAGCGGCCACTGTGAATGCAGGAGATAGAAACTAAGATAACGAAGACGATTTTCGGAGAAGTAAAGGTTGCTTCACTTCACATTTAAAAGAAATATTCAACCGATATGAAATCTTGCGACGGCGAAAAAAGAAGAACTCAAGTGAAGGATAATCTACCTGAAGTGGAAGAAGACTTTGAAACTTCAAGGAAAATAATATGATATAGCCAGAAGTCATGTGTAGGATTTTTAAGATGAGCTCGGGAGGCTGTCTTTGACGGCTGTTTAATGATTTTCTTAGCAGTAAACGTCTGTAAACATCAGATCGTAGGTGCTCGCGCGAGCACACGCAATTGTCAGCGGTAGCTAAAACAGATCATGAGCAAATGTCGATCTTATAGAATCCAGATTTTTAAATGCGCGAGAACGCGCGTGGAAATTGCTAAACTCACGAAAGCTATTGCATGAAAACAAGTCCGGTGACCCCTTCTTTTTATTGTTCCAATATGATAATAACGTCGAAAGGAATCATCAGAAAAAAAAATAGAAAATTCTACGGAAGGAAATTTGCGATGTGTGAAAATTGCCTTTTTTCTAGATTTTCTGAAATTCCGCTCCGTAGAATTTTTTTAAAATCTTTGTGCATTTTCCTTTTCAAGTGCCAAATGCAATGACTGAAAAAAATCACGGGGTCACCGGGTTAGTTTTCGAATTATTTAAGCCACAAGCTAAAAGATACGTCTGAATTAGACTATAAAAGCGTTGCCATGGAAACTGCTAGCGACGAAATGACACCTATTTTTGGATAACCAATTATTATATAATTCAACCCCGTAAAAGTGTTCAACTGGCCATAGTCAGTCTTTCTGTTGTATTCTTTCAAAGTTACAGACCATCAAAAAGATGAAAACCGGTACGAGCCACCTTAAGCTCTCATTTGTTAAACCTTTGAGGGGAGAAGATTTAAAAGCGCTGGCGAGTGGCAGGAGTCGCACAGGCTTATAAACACCTCTTAACGGTCGACTGCCTTTAGCTTTGCGGCTCACCGGCGAGTCGACTTTTGCAAGGTAATTACTCATTGATCAATCGACTTCTTTCATTGCTCTAGTTCAACTGTCCTTCATTCATCAATCAAGATAGTAGATTTACCATACTATACTAGCGATTAGCTAATTTGCCTTTACTTAGGTAAGTAGATTTATAACACGATTGAGTACACATAGGCAATGTCCTTACAGTTTCAACGGTTTGTAACGCAATACACTAACCACAACAATGTGACGCAGTGCACTCTGGTTAATTGCATTCTGGTAAAAAGTGATAAAAGGGGAATTCGCACCCCCTTTATTCTCCTTAAATCCTGATTAAGTTGCTGCAAGAGTGAAAAATGTCTTCTATAAGAATAGGAACACGACTATACCTCTCCTTCATTGGGTCTTCACATGACTGTTATATAATACAGCACAAGTTAGGTTAAATTGATAGTTAAAACCTTGGGTGCCAAGTGGCACATTATTCTTAAAGCTTTCCAAATTCAAACAGATAGTGCATCTTTGTCTAATCAAAGCGACTGTAAACCAAAGAACTCTGATAATGAATCGCAATGGGGTATGATGTTGTGGCCACTGAACTGACTTAACATTGTAGAACTATATGCTCTACTCTGGTTTGGCAATCAATCCTAAGTTGTAGCAAATTTTTTTCTTTTCTTTCTCTTTTCTTTTTCCATTTTTATTACTACCCTCTTTTACTTCAAAAGCGTATAATTTTATCCTTTTGTATCACCATTTAGAACACAGTATTACCAAAGCGAAGCATTTGTCCTTTCCATTTCCTGCTTAAAAAAAGGGTGGAAGGGAAGGTCTAATCATTCCAGAGTACAGTTCACTGATGTTGTATTTTTCACCTGCTGAAAATGTAAATGCGGAATCAACATGGTTTATATCGAAAGCCACTACAAAGGGTCGTTACAAAGTGCGAGCCGGCAAAGCATGTGAGCCAAGCGGACATGCAAGTCATTGCAAAATACGTTTTAAGTTCTTGGCTGGTGTTTTTGTTCGTAGATTCAAACCATTAACAATCTTTGTTGTAGGAATTGAGCATCCTTGCCGCTTATTCTTCTTGGGGCTTTTTTCTTCTGTAATTTGGCATTGCAGGATTTTGTAGCATTGATGATACATACAGGTTCATAATCCAATAGCTCATTAGAAAAAGCGACAATTACATCATTGGCATTAAAGAGAAAGTAAGATCTAGAGAAAGTTTACTTATATCAAAAGTTCCTTATTTGCTCTGTCCCAACTGGCTGTTTATTTGAGCTAAAAGCATTTTAGTTGCGAACAATTATGCTCTAAAAATTGGCATCTTGAAATTGAAATCCGCCATCTTTGTTATGACGAAACTATGACGTAGCAATAGTCAAGCATGCTAATTTATATCCCCGCTGAAATGGATGCAAACAAGGAAAACAGCGGCGAGGAGAGCGCCACCTAATAAATTCTCTACTTGGATTTTAATCTAGCCGAGAGGGTGTAATACATCTATTTATGTTTCAAACGAAACATGGCTCGACTTTAGGGAAGCTGGTACCCTGCTCAGGAGAGAGAGAGAGAGTCAGGAAATTGAGTTTCAAGAACCGTCCACCCGCTCAGTCGTTCACGTCTTGCAAATCGCGAGTGGTTCTCTTGCGGCAACTGTCGAGAGAAACCTACGGAAAACGAGAGTGTATGCTCCTAATAATTAAATGTATTGGGACACCGACACGATTTGAAAGGCAAAGGTCTTTTTTTCAAACAAATCCAAGCTCTGCAGTGATAGCTCAAACGATATGGTGTGTAAGGCGGCACGCTTGCCTAGTTTTCAGGGTCATTTTGAATGGCGTTGCCTCGCAATGGGCCCCAGTTAGATCAGGAGTTTCTCAAGGCAGCCTACTTGGCTAAGTTTTATTTGCCCTTTTTATTAATGACCTAGTGTCCTACCGGAAGGTAGTCAATCTGCTCTCTACGCGGACAACATCAAAGTCTTCAGTTCTATCCCGTCTATAGCAGATTGTGAACGAGTACAACAAGCTCTGACAAACCTCCACTCCTGGAGTTACGACAATAACATGCGATTCAATGCCTCTAAATGCAAAGTTCTAACTAAAACGCGCAAGAAAAAGCCTTTATTTCAAGACTATTTTTTAAGGCCCTGAAAAGTCACCGCACAAGCGTGAGGAGAAGGATCTGGGTGTAGTTATCTTGGACAAACTTACCTAGGACTGACAAAAGCAAACCAAGTTTTAGGTCTGCTGAGGAGATCATCTCCCTTGTTAACTAAAGTGGCAGCAAGAAGGTCCTTGTACTTAGCAATTGTGAAGCCCCACCTTTGTTACGCTACTGAAGCGTGGTCTCCCACTCAGAGGTCACTATAAGTTAGGGTTGAGCAAGTTCAGAGACGTGCCTCCAGATGGATCTTAAATTTGAAGCCAGGCCAAATGTCCTATGGGGGGAGACTGCTCGCCTTGCATATGCTGCCTCTTGCTTACGATAGAGAATTCAAGGATCTCGTTTTCTTTTACAAAGCTTTTTACAGTTACATTAAAACTGACGTCTTTGATTACGTAACTTTTAATAATCATCCACTAACACGCCCTGGTCAGTTTGCTGACTGTTATCTAACTTTTCCGGCCTGTAAGAACAGCACTTTGCAAGCCTCATATTTTGTCCGTATTGTAAAACTGTGGAACCCCTTATGCTATCAAGCTTTCCCTAGTGGTTTTCACCTCTTTTAGCTGTTCTAAATCATTTTTGAAGAACTTGTGCTAGTCTCTTTCAATAAATGTCTTTGATCAGGACATGGTTTGCTCATGGTCAATATCTCGCGAATGTTCATGTCACTAACCAAATCTATACTTATATGTGTATTTATATATATATTATTTATATATTTGTATATTTTATTTTTCATTTCCTTTAGATTTCTCTACATTTAGATGACAAATTTGTACAACTAGATTCTCCTACAATTTGATTTTCTTCTCACTACAACTAGATTTAATTTTTTTTTCTATACATATTTTAAAATCTTACATTTCCCCAGGGTACTGACGCACCCCGTACAAGTCTCCCGTTGGTATCCATCCCTTTTGAGCTTTAATTCCTTACCTTTGTATATTTTCATTTTGATCTTGGCCAATAAAGCTTGACATACATACTAAATAAGACCACAGTGCCCGCGACGGATTCATTTCACATCGCTACCTAGGAATGAAACGAATTATCTGGCACTTACAGGAGTCCAGCTTCAGTGTATAACTAAACGCAAGCCATTTGGAACTAAGAAGAGCCCCAATTGGCATATAACAAGTTAGAAATGATTGACCTCAAGGCTGCGCTCTAAGGAAAATTGAAAGGAGCCCAGTGCTCTGAAACTGTGAAATCCAGGGTACCCAGCATAGGCTTTGTATGAAAAAAACTAAAATTCCTGAGTCGCCCAAATGCAGAAGTAAGGCGCCAAGGGCCACCGGGCACCACTAAACCACAGCCTTGCCATATTGGTTTGATTCCATTAGTCAGCCATATTGAGGGTTTTTCCTAGTTCCCAATCCCCTAAATAAAATTTTGATGTCCTACCTACGAAACTCCGTTAATAATTTGTTTTTTTAAATTTATTTATTTGGAAGTTTCATCTACGAAACCCCGTTAATAAAGTTTTATTTGTTTAGAAGTTTACTCTGTTGGTTCATTCAATTTTGTAAAGTTGGTGGCTCCTAAAGGAGCTATTTTTTGTGATCGACGATCTTTATCTCCGCAATTGCGACTTTAGTTCAAGTCTAGACAAACGGCTCCTCTAAGAGCCACCAAATAAAATAAAAGTCAGTGACCAACGTGTTGATGTCTTTTATACATAAAATAAAATGAAGTCTAAAACAAAACCCAAGAAAGGTATACTTTAATATTTTAATTGTCATAATACGCCAAAAAGGGTGATAATCGCGACCTGTCACAAGAAGACAAGGATTAATCAGATATACATGAAGTACTGTCACTATGGTTTCGCGATGCATTATGGGGCGATTGAAAAACTCCTTTTTTGCTATCGAGCAAACAAGCCTATTTTAGTGTAAAAATACAAGTTAGGAAATCGGTAAAAACAAAAAATGCTACGTACGGTCTGGCTGTCGGTAATGGGTTGGTACCATGTATGAGGGTAGATCCTGGACAAAATGTTCGATTCGTCGTTTAGTTATGGCGTTTCGTCGTTTCGTTAGGTCGAGTCGTTGTTTTCCGAGATCGACTCGTCGAACTTTCAGTTCGTTTCGTCGGCTGGCCTCTTCGACTCGTCGTTTTACGAGTCCGACGCGTCATCGATCACATCGGTTAGTCGTTTTGTCGTTTCGACTTGTCCACTCAACAGGAGCTATAATTCAACTCAAATTACATGAATAGTTACTTGATTCCATACACTCTTACATGAATCATTAATGTGGTATCTATAATTTGCCCTCTGCCGAAGAAAATGGATCTTTAGAATAGCTCCTCAATTTGCAGAAGCGTCCGAGTTATTTAGAAAACCGTATTTTCAGCTAAAAGTTAATGAATCACTTGGGCAAGCACCCTGGGGTAATTATCGCGGGAGTCTTTGTGGAGGGTAGGAGGGTCAAGGGTTTCTTGTAGAGGGTCGAGGGTAACTTTTTTTCCCTTCCTTAAAATCAATTAGGAAAAATTAAACCGAATTTTACTAAAATAATTGAAAATAATTGAAGAAAAAACTAATTATTAAAGATACAGAGTGCAAGTGGACCCCTTTACTTTTACCCCAGAGTGCAAGGAACCCTTTAGTGTTCCTTAGCAAGGTCTAACCTTGAATAATGCTCTGATATGGCCCCCATATTCGCGTAAGAACACTGATAAGCTTGAAGGAGTGCAGAGACGCGCTGCTAAATTTATTTTGAAAACTAAGGAGAGCTATGCAGCTCGTCGTGAAAAGTTCAATCTATTATCTTTGGAAGACAAAAGAGTTTTAATTGACATAACTTTCTTTTTTAAAGCACTGAAAGAGTTTGTTGACATTGGTGTTTCAACTTTTGTGGATTATTACCCTAGTTTAGATTAGTGTTCCTTGAGACACGATCATCTGACGTTAAAAAATATTATTTAGGGGCTAATCCCCTTAAATATTCCTATTTCCATGGAATAGTAGTTTCTTGGAATATGTTGCCGGTTGACATTTGCACTGCAAATTGTACTGGGAATTTTAAATTTAATGTGAATAAATTTCTTGTGGGTAAATCATGATTTTATTTGTCTTTATTACAACATAGTATCTCATTCTTACTATATGTATTGGGTGATCTGCTGTTACATGGGGTCCGGGACTCTTTTGCAGATTCTCCCTATAGCTTTTTCTTTATTTTTTTTTTGGGTTAATTAACTGTATCATACCTGCATTTGTGTATTTATGCCATTACATTGCAATAAATAAAATAAATAAATTTGCTCTTTTTATAGGTTGAAATCACCCTTAAAAGTAGCAAGTGGGGAAGGGGTGAGTGAATAACATGTGGCCAGTCTGTTTTCAAAAACCTGATTACTTTTCAAAGAATTAAATTAAGAACCCACAGAAAGCTCATATTCGATCATAAATCTGGTTAAATTTCTTGTGTCACTGTAACATCATGGAGCGAAGAAATGTGATATATACACAGCTGAAAGCATGAACTGATTCTTAAATGACTTGGCTGACTCACGGTTATCCCCCAATTTGCGTTGTTATTGTCAATATTTAGAAAATACAGCATCAATCCCACAAGTATCAGTAATGCTGACATCACATGCAAACAAAGAATAGAAATAAAGCTAAAATGAAACTTTCAATTTCTTCTGAAAGCATAAGCACTGCATTAATTACATCAAGTAGTCGGTTGGAAGGCATAAGATATTTTCATATTACTTTTATTGTGTCCAATCTATACGAAAATATATAAGATATATTTATACACTGTCTGGAAAAGCACATGATGTTGAGAATCGGCTTTGTTCAAGGGTGGCAGCTGAGAATTTACCAGATAAAGTGTACCACCATTTCAAGCTTCAATTTATATCCTTACAATTGAATGAAAAACTCATAGAATAAATAACTGAAATTTTGTAGAACATTTAAAAGGAAAGCATAGCTTTAAGTTCGAAGCGAAGGTCAACAAGGAAAACTTACATGCTTGTATATCTCACTGGAAGTCTTCGTTTTGGCAGTATTGAGGTTTTGTAGGGTTTGGCCAGCCGTCCTCGCAGGTTATTATTTCCGCCAGCTAACTTTTCGTTAATATTTTGCTTTCCGGTAGCTTGTGAAGGCTTACACCTTTTCCTTTTGAATTTTAATATGTATTTTGACATTCAACTGCAAGACAGTTCACCTCATTTCAACTATTAGGAGTATTAAAAATTGTTTTCGCAAAGGTCAAATAGGTCAACAAGGACAAAGCGCCAAACAAAGTTTAACTATTGCTGCGTCATAACTGACGAAGTATCCAAGAAAGCGTTTTTCCAACCACAAAAGTTGTAAAAATGGGCAACTTCAAAGTGCTCTTGTCTCCAACACAAAGCAAACAAGACGAAATGACATTTACATTCATTTTCAAACTCCTAAGGAAAAATTCTTCCAACTGAGATAAACTTTTCCTAGACCTTACTTTCCCTTTAGAATATGAATAAATTACTGTAACTCACAATGAGTAAACAAAATTTGATAAAATAGCAATGTCCTTTTGGGTACAGAGATGAGTGAGTGAGTGAGCGAGCGAGCGAGCGAGCGAGCGAGTGAGTGAGTGAGTGAGTGAGTGAGTGAGTGAGTGAGTGAGTGAGTGAGTGAGTGAGTGAGTGAGTGAGTTCAACAACAGAATACTGATCTTGATTCAATTTTGACCTGATGTTTCCCGGTGGTACTGGTTTTTTTATTTTTTTCGGAGTATCTTAGAAGTTCGTCATTCTCACTCAATACACAGTTGAGTCATCTCCTTTTGTGATTTCTGGCCTATAGCCACTAGAAGCTTATGTTTTCAGTTCTTGCCATCACGCTAGAGAAGACTGCAAAAAGCGATAAATATCTCACAATCATTTCAGGACTGCGCATGATTTTAAACAAAAGTTTCCCTTGCAGAAATGTTTTGATGTGTGTAATTGGTGCACCATAAAACTTGGGAGAAATTTGTTTTCTTTGAGGAAGGAGCATTTTATCGTTTAAATCTGTAAATTATGTATATCCAAAGATATAATCTTTTTAGTTCTTCCTATGACACTACAAAACACAATAAACATCTCAAAATAATTTTACAGTGGCATCCACCAATGCACAATTTATATCAAAACTTTTCCTTGCAGAAATATCTCAATAAATATGATCTGCACATCATGGAAGCTTTGAGGACAATTTTTTTCTTGAGAAGAGAGCATTTTACTGTTTGAAAGGAATCAGTGACTCACTTATGCCAAAAAAGCCCTTAAATTTGAGAAGCAAGCAAGCTGCAAAATCTGATACCTTAAGTGTTTCAACTGAATGATGGGATGGACGAATGGTGGATCAGTGGAATGGCAGAATATCTTAAGATGCAGAATGACTGAATATCCTGTAAAGCAGAATGCCTTTTTGTGCGAAACAAAAGTCTTAAAAAAACGAATGCAATAACATAGGTAAGAAAATTATTAATAATTAAAAGGTGAAATTGAAAGAAACAAAGATAATCATTGCTGAAGCCCACAGGATTGGGGAACCATGAGGCTTTTGAGTTAGCCCCTTTAAATAATCACCATGTAAACATTGTTATCATTATTACTATTGTTGATATTATTCTTTGTTACCATCTAATTGTTGGTTGAATGTAAATTAGACGACACATTCTTTAATCATCTTTGGCCAGTGGAACAGGGTAGTTATAAAGATGTGAGATGTGGCTTTCTGTTTTTCATGTGCGACAAAATCTGCAACACTACTTTCTAGCGTCATTTTAGAACCTATAGTTTTTTTCAGTGCTTTAAAACTTGTGCTTTACCAGTAGCCATATGCAGTCTTTCACAATCTATTTTTTTAATTAAACTTCCTTCCAGAGGTTCTCTTTATGCCTTGCAAGCCTTGCACTATGCCTCACATACCTTACCACCTTGTGTATTGGTAACACTCCTATACAGAGCTTTACTATACATTAGACCTATTGTGACTAGTTGAGAACTTGCAGTCAATAATAACATTGAATTGTTTGTTACACATTTAACTTACAAGGGTCATTTATGTTTTCTTTGTTTTGACTGTCTTTTGCCGCTTTTCGCAACTTCATTGCCCACATTGTACAAACTTTGTAAGTCTGCTCCAGGCACCTTTTTTCTTGCACAAGATCAAAGTGGGCTATCCCAAGCAGGCAAAATGGGCCATCATGCCCACATGGATAGCCAATCAGAATAAATGATTTGCTTTATATCACCCATGGGCACTGCCAGCTAAATAGTGAAGTTAAACATCAAAAACTCCTATTGAAGCCAGTTTATTCTGAATGGAACTAATGGCCAAATGAGAGGGAAATTGTTTTTCATATTATTCTCTGAACAGTGCTTTACTGAGGTAGCTATCTAATTCAAATCTTATAAAATGCACTGATAAGGAATGTCAACTTTAAATTAAAGACCCCCTTGTTTGAAGTTAACATTCCAATGTTACAGGAAGGGTTGGATGTTCATAATTAAGAGGCACTGTCAGTAAAAATCAGATATGATCTTCAAAATCGCAGACACAGCCAAAAAATCGATTTCGCTCATACTTTCTATATTGATAGACCCTTGTCCCAAGGTAACCAAAACAGGGTTGGTTTTTTCTAATCTTTTTTTCTTGAGAGTGATTAAATAAAAACGGTCGAGTGCAGATCAGGCCAAATTTCGATATTCGAAATATCGAAATTCTGTCATATTCATGGCTTGCCAGTGTAAGTCGAAAATTATCTGTGAATTTTCCTTTGCAATAACATTATAGTTGGGGCCTTGTACAATTCATTAATGACAAGAAAAGCAGATATGTTCTTGTTATAAATATTTAATGAATTTTTTTCTTGATGACACCCTGTGGCTGTTTTTCAATAGCTCTATGGTACCCTAAAACAACTGCCAAAAAGGCTTGCTGGTACATGAAGAAGAACCCAATAACTATATTGTAGATACAGTTTAAGGATAGACGTTCTCAGATATACTTTCAATTTTTTGGGATAATTTTTGGTTTTGCAGTAACCCTTGTTTGAAGTTTGCTTATTTTCGAGATTTACTGCAGCCACCATATTGAAGTTTCAACTAACTTGACCATCAAGAAACAATTGATCGCATGTTGAAAAGTACATTTGAAGTTAAAACATGATAAGCTAACTTAAGATATTGACTCGATTTCTGATTCCTATCTTATCTGGCTGATTTTTGCTTGTTGTCAGTTTGTTTACACAAGATCAGTTTAACGACTACTGTACCAAAAACTTACATTTTGTTGATACCTTCGATTTCAGTTGCAAATCTACTTTCTGGGCATTTCAGTTATTAGTTTTATCTTTCAGAATGTACAATCTACGAAAACTTCGGCTTTTCCATGACAAACACTAATCAAATAATAATTAATTTAAACTATGTAGCGTGTGAAACAACCTGTGCCTATAATGTATCTGTCAGCAGACTGTCGGCACGCATATTTGATGACAGAGCTTTTGATATTTAATTGAACATTATAATAGTTATATTAGTTGGGGATTTCTTCAGTATTACATATTTTATATATAAATCGGGTTAGAATGGACAGTTAATTAATGATGAATTATGCATCACAGTAGTTATAGTAGTTGGGGATTTCTTACTACGCATTTTCGGGTTGGAAGAGATAGATCATAAATCATAAATTGTAAAGATTACAATTTTCATTCTTTTTATTACATGTTATAACATATTTTTTAGTATTTAGCATGTGCACGTTCTTACGAGCTTTGTCACAAGCTCTTTCATGTTCAACGTGAATAAATACACTTACTTAATTCACACCTTTGATGTTTGGTGTCACGTTGTAATTAGTACCCGCTTTTGTATTACATCATACTCTAAATATTTTATTCATCTATTTGTCTGTTATATAATTACTTGCGTTCTGTTACTCATTGATTGAAGTTGGCATAAGCATGCCCAAACATGTCTTTCAAAAAGTTGATTATATCAACAAAGTTGAAATGGTAAATTGGCCACCGTCATGGTTATAAAAGCTGACATTTCAAGCATTAGCCCTTCGTCGGAGCGAAAGAAGAAGTTGTCTATTTCTTACAATATTACATGCCATAAAAAAACAGTTGAAGATTATCGGATATGAAACAGAAATTGAGCTTATTTTAGCAAGGAGTACTAGTGCTCTCTGATGATTTCGTAGTACCATGCTTTGCTTGTTCAAGCGTCAGTAGTGTTACAAAAATTCCCAGACACTGTAGAACAAATGATGGCCATGTTCTTGCCATGGCCAGGGTTGTTATAGGAGTCTTTTTTGAAATTCCAACAAACAATTAAGCACTGTTCTGAAAAATTATTTGCCCGTGTGCCAAAAAAAAATTAAGGCGATCTGCTAAATAATACATCCATAATATCTCTTCCTTATTATCTGATGAAGAGTAGCTTTAATTTTGTTGATGAAAAAGTCTCTGTGAGAATCTAATCTATCTTACACTAAGGGTGTTTTTAGGTTATCGTATTGCATGGTAATTTACTGTCAGTAAACGACCACCAAGGAGTGAATATCGTTTACACCACAATCTGTGTTAATACCAACTGATAAAAGACAGCAGTATTGAAACTTATTCAAACAGTGTTCAAACTTAAGGTACTGGAAAATGCTTGGCACCAGTGCAAGCCATGACACTTGATGAGAAGAGTCTATTTATTCAGATTTCTGTTTGTTTTGGTAGCATTTTGTGCCCCAAAGGGGCCATTACCCCTACGCGGGATGGTTGAACGGTTGGGACAGAGTTTTGAACCCGGCCGTGTGCACTTTCACCTGTGTTCGGATCTTGTAGATGGGAATTTGGAACACAGATGAAGTGTATTTCACCAGCAAGAACACAGAAAATTGTCATGCGCAGTGCAAAATACAATGCTTGGCAGTCAATTTTTCTTTTTTACTCCATTTGCTTTTTTTCATATAGAATCAAAACGAATTTGGCTGGTTTATATAAGCTATTCAAACGTTATTAGTTTAAGCATATCAAGCAGTTGAATATTATTCAAATGCTCATAATATCAAGCAATTAATTCTCCCTACAAGAGCTATAATTTATTTCTAGTTTATCACATTATGTGACCTCACTAACGTCAGATCAGGAGTCACGCCAAGAATGTTCGAAAAATGGAAGACACGGTGAAATTGACGTTAAAGTTTGGGCTTTTATGGTACATTGTAAAAGTAAGAAAATAATTCGTTTAGATGGAAAGGCAGTTGCTTTATGGTGATTTATTTTTGTTCAAATTCAAACTGCCAAAAATCCGAACTGCGTGTCCACATCTTTGATTAACTGGCAATATGTTGCTCATTAGGTGATATTCTTGTTGCTTGTTGAGAGATAGGTAGCCTACCTGAGCAGGTCAAGCAAAAAGGAAATCTTTGGGACTACAACATTCAACTTTAGAATGTCACTTTGTTTAAAGAAACATTGGGTTCATTCTTTGCATGCAAGTAATGTGTGGGTCTTTTTAAAATTACTTCTCCCAACATTAAAAAGAGTGCAGTCATGGCTTCGATGATGGCTGTTATTCAATTGCGTGACAGATCTGTCAAGTGATCAAACTGCGTTGAACGGTCCTTGATTGTTGCAATGTATCAGGTGTTTATATGTCTTCCAGCTCAACACCGAAAAGTGTTCTAATGGGAAACGTCACAATCATAAAGCTGACTTACTTAGCAAAGGTCACTTGTGAAAAAGAGAAAGCAGAAATTAGCACGAAACAAGCTAACATGTCGTGATGAGCCAAACAGGTAAAGATGAGGTCAAGAGGTGAGTCACAACAGATTTTGTAAATGTTTCTCGATCCATTTCTGTTACGTGTACCTCTACATTTTGCTCTGGTGCACATTTAACTTATTCCATTGATTTTGCTTCACTTAACAATTTTGAGGAGCTTCACTTTGGAAACTTTTAACTGCAAACATGTGAAGTGTTAATTACTTAAAAATGGCGGATATTGAAAATTGGCTTACTTCAGGAATGTCTTGTTGTACAGATACAAAAGATCCTAGGGAAATAAAACGGTAGAAAGTTGAAGCTATCCTTGAACATGGCTCAGGAGATTTCCTGGTCGATTTCATTGCGTACCGCGGGCGTTTTTGGCACGTTTGTTTGAAGCACCAACGAATCAATTTCAGAGGAGCTGTAGGTGCACTTAAAAAAAATCATATTTTACTTTTAAGGAAAGGTTATGAGTTGGTTGTGCTACCAATCAATTGCAGAAGCATCAGACGAATAGGATTAGTGTGAAANAAACCGTTTAAACACTCTTACTACCCGTTTATTATCCGTTTACAAACCGTTTATTTTCAACCGTTTAACGAAAAAGCGTTAGTGTACGAAATCCTGTGCCCGGTCACAATTGTTCTGATCAAGGTAAACAGACAAAAGTACAGATTTATGTTTGGGAAAACGTACACTAACGATATTCCGTTAGACGGTCTAGACCGTTAGCTATCCGTTAGTCATCCGTTAGATAAATAAACGAAAACCGTTAGAGGCGTTAGTCAATTCGTTAGCATCTAATCCGTAACCGTTAGAGCGTTAGTTGAATTCGTTAGAGCGTCAGTTGAATTCGTTAGAACGTTAGTTGAACTCGTTAGAGCGTTAGTTGAATTCGTTAGAGCGTTAGTTGAATTCGTTAGAGCGTTAGTTGAATTCGTTAGAGCGTTAGTTGAATTCGTTAGAGCGTTAGTTGAATTCGTTAGAACGTTAGTTGTATCCGCTAGAACGTTAGCTCTATCCATTAGAGGAGTTTTGCAGTCCATTAGTCGTATCCGTGAGTGACGTTAGTCAATCTGTTAGTATCCTGATCTTTACCTGTTGGAGAATGAGTCGTATGTATAAAGCGTAAGCCGATGTATAAACGATTTTTTCCTCTCTTACCCTCGTGTTATACGGACTGTCGCATGAACTGACTAAAAAGTTCAAGGCAGGATTCAGCTAGGGAACATTAATACCTTGCCAAGCCGTGTTGATGAAAATTCTTGATATCTGGTTTGCTCATGGCCTTCAGATCTATCGAAGTTAAACACTATTATTTTATTTTCGTGGAAGAGATTAAAAAATTATTATCCCGCTCCGTTCGCCATGTTTTCGTTCTTGGCTCCAGGCTTCCTTAGGGTTGTTACCCTGGTAACCGATAAATTCCAACATAAAAAACACCAAGCTTTCAAAATTCTTGATATAAAACTCGAAGTTCTCGGTATACCGAACGATAATTCTTCAGCCAGGCGAAAGTTACAGTAAATTGTATGGAATAGAACTTCGATGAAAAGAAACTCGATATAACCATAGTTAGTATAGGGGACTGGTTATGAAACCCGGTAAACATCAGAGGCCGATGTCTTTGTTATGGTTTTCCATTAGTCACGTGATGTTNGTGCATATTTAACATATTCCATTCATTTTGCTTCGCTTAACAATTTAAAGGAGCTTCACATTGGAAACTTTTACTTGCAAACATGTGAAGTGTAAATTACTTCAAAATGGCTGATACTGAAAATTGGCTTACTTCAGGAATGTCTTGTTGTACAGATACAAAAGATCCCAGGGAAATAAAACGGTAGAAAGTTGAAGCTATCCTGGAACATGGCTCAGGAGATTTCCTGGTCGATTTCATTGCGTACCACGGGCATTGTTGGCACGTTTGTTTGAAGTACCAACGAATGTATTTCAGAGAAGCTGCAGGTGCACTTGAAAAAAAAATCATATTTTATTTTTAAGGAAAGGTTATGAGTTGGTTGTGCTGCCAATCAATTGCAGAAGCATCAGACGAATAGGATTAGTGTGAAACTAATTTAAGACTTACAATGAACTGACTCGACAGCGCCACGAATAATGGCAATTTCAAAGGTTTTGTTCAAGAAAATATTGTAAACCGTTTCAAGTAGATTTCTCCTATACAAGCGAAAATTTTAACAAACGGACATTGCTGTCATACGTATGGGACTAAAGCCTACCAATGGACAAAGTATGGGCGAAATTGAATTTTGAGCTGTGTCTGCGATTTCCCTGATTTTTACTGACATTTACTCTTAAATGTTCTATCAGATTAATTGCATCTTTTAACTGACTATTTGAATGTTTGGAGTGCATGATTAAATTTTCTAATTGGATTTTAAAAGGCTCACATAAATGTTTGAACCACAAGTTGAAACTTTACATTTAACAATGCAAAACACAAGTTTATGTTTGAATGTTCGAACGAAAATTTATTTTTTATAGCTGGGCGACGGAGCATGTGCTTCACTTTATGAGCTCACTAGCTTGATTTTGAATGCACTAATTCAAATACATATCATAGTGCACGAGTTCGTTCTCTGAGCTTTGCTGCTTTTAAATTTGAAGAGATGTCTGACTCTACAACTGGCCGCGTGGCTGCATGACAACATCACACACTAGTTCACTTTCGATTTTTTTCGCATGATTTTCATAGAACGCGCTGAGATTCAAACATAAACTCCAAAAAACACTCTAATAAACTGTAAAAAGTTTTAAGACGGACACAAGTATTCAAAAATCGTGTTTTTACTTACCGAAAATGACCAGGAATCGTCGGAAAACCCAACAACGGACGGGATGAAAACCCAACAACGGACGGGATGAAAAATCGCGACATTATGAAGTGTTTTACACGACATACTAGCCCCTTCACCACCGCTTATTTACCTTACCCCGACTGCTCCCTGGGACTCCTTGTCACATCAACCAAGGAAACCTAATCGCCCAATCTGTTCCCACATCGTCAGCCGCATGTCTGCGCCAAAAATGAAGAAAAGGTGGATCAATTCTTTGAAATCAAGGGCAGAGAAGGAGAAAGAGAATCAAAAGAAACTCAAGTCCCAGTTGCGGCCTTGCCTTATTTGTAGAGATGACAAACATGTTACTGAAAAACGTGGTTCGGGCTTTTTAGTTGAAAGCCTGGAGGTTGGTAAAGGAATTCCACCTCATGATTATCTGGTAACAAGCGAAAAAGTGATAACAGAGTTTGGTAAACTCATGGAAAATTATGTCTTAAAATTTCGAAATCCAGTTAAAAGTTCGAAGAAGTTTACAGAATTCCGATTACATGAAATTGCAGCGTCATCGGAGCCTTACAAGCCTGGGGGCGACACTTCCGGGATAATTTTCATCTGGCTGAAAAGGGAAAGTGAAAAATTCCCTGAAAGCAGACTTTTTAGCGTTGTGCTGGAGGACTTAGAAAATTATGAAAATTTTTATTGTTACTTTGCGAACGTCTCTTCTAAAGACTTTGTAGAATGCCTAAGAATTAAGCAAAATGGCTCAGGAAAGTATGTGGTCGAAGAAGATGGTCGTTCTTGCCCTACATACGAGTCACTTAGAGGGAACAATCCCGGACATAGACCTCTTGGTGGTGCCATCCTTATAGACGTCCAAGGCGAACTTAGATGTGTGGGAATGCTTGATTTCACAGACGATGAAACAGAGACCGTATCGCCTGTTTTCTTCTCATCTATTTTTCCACGTAAAGGTAAGAGCGATTTTGTGAACCATAGAATACTGTAAAATTCCCTCTGAGAAGCCTGCCAACTTTTATCGCCCAGGTAAATGATAAACAGTTTTAGAAACTTAAGTACTGAGGTTCCTAATTTCTTGATTGTAAATGACTGGAATTAATGTATTTCAGCAACACTCCATTTGAGTTTAATCTCCCAATTTTTAGGGAGATAATCATTTCTCGACAATTCGTCACAATACATACTAATTGACAGATCACTTTTCATGGACAAGATTTACTGAGTCAAGAATTATAAACATTCGTAGTGAAAAGTTGAGTGGTTCTTAATTATAAGGTGTGAGACATGTAAGTTACATGTATTAATTCTGTTTGCAAGTTTTGCAAACCTGCTTTATTTATCTACCCATTTTCCTGTTCTGTCAGTCTTTGCCCTGTCTTTACCATGGTTTGGACCAGATGATTTTGCTCAAAGTTTATTTCCATAGTTTGTACTTTGAAGCTGGTATATTTGGATTTGTTTTGCTTCAAAGTCATTAATTTTGTATACTACTACTTGTGTTCTTCCTACAACGACAGATATTAATTGATGTATGTTTTTCTTTTCTGCATATGTGTATACTCATTAGTTAGGAACCAAACCACCTAAGATGGTACCACTCAGGCTAGACTCCACCTTTTTGGGTGCTTCAATTTTCTCTCATATTAAGATTATTGTTTCAGTAGCTAATTTGCAAAACTTGAAGATCAGTTAACATCCTGTTTTTGAAATATATGGGATAGGAGTTTATTTCAAAGAACAGATCTCCATCAAAATAGATACAATCCTGGGCTGGTTGCTCAAAGTTGGGTTAGGATAACCCAGGATTAGTCTAAAGTTTGATTTCAGATCTGAAAGCTTTAAAGGAAAATTCAATCTAATTCCATTTAAGTTTACAATTTGATGATTGAGTGCTTTAAAAAAAAATTTGAAAAGTATCCCAAAATGGCTTTTGAACTGAGAAATGTAGAAAACTAGATTAAAACTTGACCCTGAGTCACCAGTTATCAGCCTTTGAACAACTAGGCCCATAATATTGTCCTGTTGAGTGAGTGTAACAATAGAATTCGAACAACCTCATTGCCCACAGTGAAGTCTGCCAGGTTTTACCTGATATTCCTTGCTCTAGGATTATATCTGTTTTGGAACATCTTTGGTAGTTCAATGCTTGCTGATGATTTCTTCAGATCGCTTTGAATGGTACTTGGAATTGGTATGGATCATATGGTTTCCTGATGCTACTTATTGTTTGTTCCAGACTACTTTAGAAAATTATAAACGTCTCAATTATTTTCAGGAGGGCATTTGAAAAAACAATTAGCTTTACCTCACAGAAATGTCTTAAAAGGTGTGATCGGTGTACCGTGCAAACCTTAGGGAAAAATTTATTCTTTGGAGAGAGAGAATTTTACCTTTCACATCAGCAAATTTTTGCGCAGTAGATCCAAAGATATAATTTTTTCAGTTCTTGCCATGATACCACAAAAGATGACAAACATCTCAAAATAATTTCAGAGTGGCATCTCTGGCATTAAATTGAAAATAGATTTTTCCTCTCAGAAATATCCAAATAGGTTTGATCTCCACATTGTGGAAACTTTGAAGAAAATATTATATATTCAAAAAGAGAGTGTGAACCATTTCAATCAGGGCCAAATGCTCTAGAAAGCTGCAGTACATTATGTGAGAAGTAAGCAAGGTCCCAAATATAATACCTTGGGTTTACAGTTACCCTGTGCAATGGTGGAACGGCAGAACGGCAGAATGATGGAATTACCCACAATGCAGAATGCCTTGTTGTATGAAACAAAAGTCTCACAAACATGGAATTGGAATGAAAAAAGAAAAATAATTTATATTTATTGGAGCTAAGAGAATAGACCTAAGGAAGAAAAGTGATGTTCTGAAGTGTATTAGGTTCTTGAGTTAGAAATGTGTTGAATGAAAATTAGAGATGTTGCATGTGAAGTCAAAATTAAGTCTGCAATGTATAATTAAGCACAGGCTCGGCTGGAAATTATTTTGCCCTAAAACCTTGTGTCACATTCATAGCAGACTTTATTTTGGCTTCACAATCAATATTTTTCTACTATTTTTCCTTTTACAGTGAAAGAAAATCCTTTTTGTGATTCAGGCTTGAATTTTGCTCTTGCAGATAGTCCTAGTACATTTCTATCAAATGACAGCAAGGATGTAAGGCCCCAGGACTTACCTCCTCAAGGTGTTTATTAAATTGCATTTAAGTAGGTCACATTTGATTGAATTGTAAGATTATTTTTTACACCTCTTGTTATTTTTGACATTATCAATCTAATTACTATTTTTCTAATTGCTTTAAAATCACAGCTATGTTCAGAAGTACTAACTAACAACTTGAACAGTCATGATCAACATACTTTTATCTACTTATAAGGCACTTCCTTTGCATTTCGTTCTTGATATTTTGCTTTCTGGAGTTATATCTCCCAATTTTTTAGGGTGATAATCATTTTTCATCAATTTGCCATAATACTTACTTATTGACATATCACCTTTCATGGACAAGATTTACTGAGTCAAGAATTGTAAATATTTGATGTGAGAAGTTATGTGGTTCTTAAGATGCGAGACATGTAAGATGCATGCAAGTTTTGCAAGCCTGCTCAATTTATCTACCCGTTTACCTGTTCGGCCAGTCTTTGCCCTGTCTTTGCCATGGTTTGGACCAGATGATTTTGCTCAAAGTTTATTTCCATAGTTTGTACTTTCAAGCTGGGTTATTTCTCATTGTGTGGTTAACATGGATTATTGATATTTGTTTACTTTTCACTTATTTGGATTTGTTTTACTTCAAAGTCATTTGGATACTACTATTTATGTTCTTTTTACAATGACATAAATTAATTGACCTATGTCTTTTTCTGTATATTTATTATACATACACATTAGTTAGGAACCAAACCACCTAAGGTGGTACCACTGAGGCTGACCCCACCTTTTCGGATGCTTTAATTAAAGTGTGTTAAAGTAGCTTATTTGCTGAATTTGAAGATCAATTAACATCCTGTTTTTGAAATGTATGGATAGAAGTCTCATTTCAAAGGATTGATGTTGCAGCAAAATAGATAAGACCCTGTTCCAATGGTGGTTATATCTTTTAGGTGGTATGTTTCCGTTAGATCACATTTCTGACACATCCATTTCATAAGTATTCATTATTTTGATATAAAATAGTAAATGCTTTTTATGGCTGCTGCTTCCCATGAAGGCAAAGCCATAATGTTGTCTTGTTGAGTGAGTTTAACAAGAGAATACAAACAACCTTATCACATACAACGAGTTTTACCGGATATTTCTTGCTGTTGGCTCATGTCTGTTTCAGGACATCTTTTATTTGGATGTTCAACTCTTGCTGACGATTTCTTCAGATTGCTTTGAATGTTATTCAGAATTAGAACGTGATCTTACGGTTTCCTGATGCTATTTATTGTTTTTTTTCAAACTACTTTAGGAAATGATAAACATCTTCATAATTTTTTTTAGGGTGGCGTTTGAAAAAAACAAAGCCTTACTTGGCAGAATTGTCTTTAAAGGTGAGATTGGCACATTGTGCAGACTAAAAGGAAAAATTTCTTCCTTGAAGAGAGAGAATTTTACTTTTCGAATCAGGGAATTGTGCCAAGTGGATCCAAAGATATAATTTGTTCAGTTCTTGCTGCAACATCACAAAAGATGATAAACACCTCAAGATAATTTAACAGTGGCCTCTCTGGCATGAAATTGTCTTTTCAGTTGTATCTATGTGTGGATGTAAAGCCTGTTTTCATACTGGTCAATGAGACAAATAAACGAATTACTGAGTCTAAAAATATACCTCCTAAAAGGAGAGAGAGGTCATTGTCAGCGGAAATGGAAATTATGTTTACCAAGCTGTTGCACTTCAAAAGAATGAAATTAGGTATGAGAAATAGGAAGGAATTCCTAGGTCAAGTGTTAGGTTATAAGACAAAATCAAAAGGTTTTTGAGTGGCCACTCTTCTCCTCGAACTCCCTAGAGGATGTCAGCAGGAACAGTAAGATCAAGATAACTCAGGCAAATACTGTGGATATATATATTCAGTTTTGCATCCCTCCTTAAGTGATGCATTTGACCACTTACTTATTGTTGCAGAAGAAAGGGTTTAGATTTGCCCCAATTATCAAGAATTCTGCGTCATTCTCATCAAACAAAACAAATAAGCAATGAAGGTGTTTAGTCACTTTAATGTATCACGACAACGTTAGGCCTTAGCAAGCTATTTCAATCTCCTGCTGCTTCAAGGTAGTTGTTGTAATGCTCTTCTGTATTGCCAAGCCAAGAAATAGCTTGAAGTAGACTTAACCATGATACAGGCTGATAAAACTCAAAAGGCTGAATTGAATTATTTCCTGGCAATTTATAGCTAATTTTTCTTAATTTTAGAACCATTACTCAAAGTCAATTTCACATAAAACCTTACATATACACCTGTACACACATGGAGAAAGGTTGATTGGTAGGTTTTATTACATATTACATGGTTACTCAAACAAAAACTTGAACTTCCCTCATATCAACTTTACCTCAATCCATTCTGTTAAACAGTGACAAAAAAGCAGTGATGCATCTTTAAAATTGTTTAAAGGCTGATAGCTTCGAAAGAAACTGTTTGGGGCTGCGTTGGTGGGAGTAACGAAATAACTTGGATATATCAACAAAGCAAAATATGGCAATCTGCGGTCTTTCCTTACACTTAGGTAGCACGGAAAGCCGAAAAAATCTTGAACAAAAGCTCATCTTTCAAACCGGCAGTCTAAATCCCATTGGGATCAACAAACGCTTTTCATTCCACTAATTTATTCTTGTTTTTCTCGTTGCCATGTTCCCACCAATAACGTAGCTCCATTTTCTGCCTTTAAAAGCACACACAACCCACAATTCCGCTATTCGCTCCGACAAAGGGCTAACGCTCAAAACGTCAGCTTTAGTAATCATTACGGTGGTCAATTTACCACTTCAACTTTGTTGATATATCCAAGTTATATTCTAAAATTGTTTATTTGAAACTAGCAACAATCATTTGCCATTGATTTCCTACCAGCAACTTGTAATGTTAGTCCCATGATGATCCCTAAAATCTATGCACAAACGCAAGGATGCAATTGCTGGCAACTCATTCATTGGCAACATTGCAAGGAGGAGAGGGGCGAAAAAACATCAGACTTTACTCTTGAGAAGTGCCCCAACTAATTGTGTCTGGGAGTGTAGTATGTTTCTGTTGATTTTCATCCATGGTGGGACAATGTAACCATTTTTGAATAGCCGTTACCCATTTTGATGTCATTTACTGAAACTTCACCGCTTAGCCTTGTTTTTGCCATAATCATGGATCTTTGTCTCTTTGTTGTTGTTTTCATACAGTTATTCTTTTGAATTTAGTGTTTTGGGAAAACTCTCAGATTGTAAAGCGGACTTGGGGGTTGTATTTGCCTAACTGGATGTAAACATGCATGAGGCCTATATTCCATCAGGATTCTCTGACAGTTGAGTATTCAACTTGGTACTCCTGGGAGTGTAGAGCTATTGTTTGACCAAAGGTTTTTGCCTACTGTATGTAAGGTGTCACTATAAGGGCCTAGGAAAATATTTATTAGGATAAAGAAAAAGTAAAAACAAGATCAGTCCCTTCATGTGTAGTTCTTTAACTGAATTTATTTTAAATAATCTTTTTATCTAACAAAACAAAAGTTGTCATAGTTCTATTTACTATCAAATTGTGATTGATTATTTTCCTTCTGGTTGGAAAACATTTGATAATTTTTTTAACATCATTAGGAGCTGCATAAAGTTTTTTTGTACCTGCCTTTAGGGTTCATGTACCTCTGTTGCTGAAGACACTCTCTTCAAAATGATTATCACAAATTAAAGTTAGTTTTGAAGATCAGCACCCAGAATGTTCTACATTATTTTGACTGAAGTTCTGCTTCTAAGAATCCTTTTAAAAATTCCTGCTAAAAATGCCAATTTAGTTGCAAACAGCAATCAGACATTTTATGAGAAATGTATGTTCTATCAGTTAAAAAGAAAAGAAAAGCAGAACAGACCATTTGTATTTGAAAGCGCAAAATGAAAATGTTTCTTAATTAGTAAAAAGAAATTGTGCTTACAATTCAGAATTGTGACAGTGGGCAACATGTGATTTACAAGTTCCATGGTCACAGCTCTTTCTGTGCACACCACTGTCGTGTTATAATGCACCATTGGTCATTTCTTCATGTAATAAAGATTTGAATAGCTAATAGCATGATTTCAAGTGCAATTTGGTTTGAATAGGCACTTGTTAATTTTTCAAAGAATACAGATTGCATTCACCCCACAAGCTTGTGCAATTTTTGCGAAAAAATTCAATTTCACTGAAAACTTTACACATACACTCATACATGTGTGGAGAAGTGTTGTTGGGTAGGTTTTATTGCACATAACATGGTCATTTAAACAAAAACTTACACTTCCCTGGTAACAACTTTACCCTAATCTATTTCTGACAAACATTGGCAAAAAAGTGATGATCAATCTCCAATTATCCAACTTGACACCTCTGTGAACACCACTGTTGTCTTGTAAGGTACAGTTAGTCTACTGCGAGGATCGTGCATCATACGTAAGGTACAGTTAGTCATTTCAAATGGCCTTCAAGGCAGTAACCAAGGCCTGCTGTTCCTCATGGCCAACCCCTTTGATATTTTCCCTTGCTGAATGACTACAGTTATCTCTGACAATTTACTTCTCTTGTGTATTGAAAACCAGACAAAAGAGAGGAAGGAGGAGGAGACAAAGAACAGCCCCAAGGGCAACTATCAGATGGAGGAGAAGAACCACCTCTTGGGAAATCGGCACTGGACAAAAGAGAGGGAGGTGAAGGAGAACAACAGTCACAGGGGAAACGAGCAGAAAAAGAAAAAGAACAGGAAAATTGTACTGATCAAGGTAAACATACAAAAATATAGATTTATAGACCACTTTCATAAATGGCTGCCGGATTAATATTCTTTTGTTTAAATTTAAATTTGTCTGGGTGGTCTCGCTTGAGATAATGTATTCTTTTGAATTTTGTACTGGAGAACGAGGCCACCTAGGCAAATTTGAATTTAAACAAAAGAATATTAATCCAGCAGCCATTTATGAAAGTGGTCTATATTCTCTGAAGTTTGGCCTTGAGGAGCAACCCTTTCACTCCTGAGATCTCATTAGTAATATAATTCTCCTTACTGTCTAATATGCAGCTCTTATATCATATTACTTCCAAGAATTTGGTATTGGATCAACCACTAATCCCCTAGTTTATAAATTTCCATATTTTCATTACTTGTCTGCTTGAAATTGTGTTGATACTGCAGAGAGAAATTCTGTCTTGGTCATTTGTGGGGTTAAAGGGTTAAAGACTCTTGATAATCTGTCCACAGTTATTTCTGTTACAAGTAATTTGACTAAATGTGTGGAGTTTTGTTTATCATTGTGAGAACTTTTCCTTTTACAGTCAAAAAGAAAGGACATTTCAGGTCAGGTGAAAAAAGACTATTGGTCCTGGAAAGTCCTTGAAATTTGTAATTCAGTGCAAATTTAAACTGGTTGATCTTAAAGTTAATGTATACTAATTTTGATCTGAAATAATTAATTTTAATCTCAACTCGTTTACCAAAATTATGATTGACTGAGTTAGCGTAAGCTTATACCTTTCATTAACAGTTATAATATTTTTTAATGAGGGTCATCTTCTGGAGATAATGATAAAAACTCATCATTGTCGTCACTATCTGGGAGTCATCAAGGTCCAGCATGTAGCAACTGTTGCAGCTTAAGTAAACGTGTAGCTGGGGATCATACCAAGAGAAGAAAGCAGCTCAAATCTGATTCAGCATCCAAGGATATAAATGGTAAGGTTGAGGGGAACTGGGAACTGCAGGTATCACAACATTTACTCAGCAAGTGTTTGTTGGTTTGTGTCTAAAATATCTCTACTCATGGAAATGTTCCAGGTGGTGTAGGTTCCTTGTTGTTACTATGGATAGGGTTACATGATTATGTGTGCCATTTACAGGTCATGGAAAAACTCCACACAAATCAAGTGAATCTTTGAAAAGTGAAAGATTGCCACTCAAGGAAGGTAGGAGTGCTTTGATTTTGACAACTGTTTCTATTTTCAAGAAGCAGAATGCAGATTAAACTTAAGTTGAACTTTTCACTGCATAAACTTGCATTATTGTGAGGCACTTTAGAACTCGTATAGTCCCTGCACAGACATTTTTGTTACTTTAAATTTGATACAGAGATGTTCTGCTGTTTGAAATACCATCTTCAATGGGTTTTCTTTAACAATGTTTTGATGTATATATAGAGTTACATCTTTATGGGTTTTCATTAACAATGTTTCATTTTCATTTCATTTTTCATTTTATTTGCCATCACGGGAAAAAAAATTAACTGAATACAAAATTTATGATACATCATAGATAAAAAGAACTATAATTCTAACTAAATTAACTTCAAAATCAAAGGAACTGAAGAGGTAATAGCTAGGAAGCCTATTAGAGGCCAGGAGCTTTGAGTCATACAGTCATACAGTTCTGATAATTATAATGAATAGGAAGAATAAATTAACAAACTGATATTATGTATTTTGGGAAAAAAAATTGGTTCTGTATCTTTGAAGATCTAATTTAGGTTATCTATCTGTATATTACTGTAGTACAAGTAAGTAAATCAAAAGTTGTTATTTTTGTACTGGCAACCAGGAGAAAGAGGTGAAGAAGGAAGTGAGGAACAGTCATCTGAAGATAAACAAAGAAATTGATCTGATCAAGGTAAATAGATTTCTGTTCTCTGATGCATGGCCCTAAAGACTCTTGATAGCCTGTTCACAGTCATTTCTATTACGAGCAATTTGACTAAATATGTGGACTTTTGATATTGGTGCAATAATTATACCTTTCATTAAGAATTGTAACATTTTATTTAGGGTTATCTTCTGGAGACAATGATAAAAACTCATCCTTGTCGTCACTATCTGGGAGTTATCAAGGTCCAGCAAGTAGGAACAGTCGCAGCTTAAGTAAACGTGTAGCTGGGGATCATACCAAGAGAAAAAAGCAGCACAAATCTGATTTAGCATCCAAGGACATAAATGGTAAGGTTGAGAGGAACTGGGAACTGCAGGTATCACAACTTTACTCAGTAAGTGTTTGTTGATTTGTGTCTGAAATATCTCATCTTATTAAAGTGTTCTAGGTGGTGTAGGTTCCTTGTTGTAACTATGGATAAGGTTACATGATTGTGTGTGCCATTTCAGGTCGTGGAAAAACTCCACTCAAATCAAGTGAATCTTTGAAAAAGAAACGTCAAAGAGTGTCACTTAGGGAAGGTAGGAGCTTGCTTTGATTTTGACAATGTTTCCTTTTTTCAACAAATAGAATGCAGATTAAACTTAAGCTGAACTTTTTACTTCATAAACTTGTATTATTGTTAGTCACTTTAGAAGATATAGCCCCTGCACAGACATTTCTGTTACTTTAAATTTGAAAAAGAGATGTTCTGCTGTTTGAAACACCATCTTCAATGGGTTTTTGTTAACAATGTGTTGATGCATACAATTATAATTCTGATCAACTAGGAAAAATAATTGAACATACTGAAATCAATATGTATTTTGGGAAAAAAAAACTGGCTCTGTACCTGTCAAGACCTAAGTTAGGTTATCTAATTTGTATACCACTGTAACACAAGTAAATAAAGCAAAGGTTGTCATTTTTGTACTGACAACCGGGGGAAAGAGGTGAAGAAGGAGGTGAGAAACAGTCATCTGAAGATGAACAGAGAAATTGTGACCGGGCACAGGATTTCGTACACTAACGCTTTACCGTTTAACGAAATAATCCGTTTACTATCCGTTTATTATCCGTTTAAAACGGATCATCAAAGCGTTTAAATGCTTTCTTCATCCGTTTAAACGCTCTGCTCATCCGTTTAACGTTTTCGACAAAACGTTTAAACGGTTAACCTATCCGTTT